TAGTTCCCTGTCGCGGGTTTGATAAAAGAGCTATCCCACTAACAACCATTGGATAAGTGTATACTATCCTGCCATAGACCCTTGTGTAGAGAAACATCTTGACAAGTAATTGAAACCAAAATAATTTAGTGCGCCGCGTAAAACTAATGAGATAATTAAGTGCGCCCAGACCTAACAATTTGATAAAAAATGATGAAAAACAGTCATTTTTAATATCAGAGTTAACTCTATTTCTAAAATAAATTTCAAAATAGAAATGACTGTTTTTCATCATTTTACTAAAAAAAAGATGAATTTCCATCATTATTAAAAATCAATTTAATGACTGAAAATCATCATTTTTAAAAATAATGGATTTCAATCACACCCCTGACTGATTAAGAAACCATTGTTGATATTATTGAATTGATTTGAAAAAAATATGAGTTTTTAAAATTAAACATTAAAATATGCGCATTTTTTCTTTAGAATGGCTAATAAATATATTTAATGTATTATGTTACATTGTAAAAAATAACTAAGTCAATAAATAAATAGACCTTATACCTCCCAATCAACGGATTGTAATTTGATGTTGTGCTGTGGTTTGTTAGAAAAGACTGAAATCATCGTATATTTATAGTAAATGTATAGTGATTAAAAATACATAGTATACTGTAATTTACATTACCATGACAGGGAATATACAAAAAAACTAATTAAAACAAACTAAATTTCATTTTATTCCTAATGGGCCGAGCAGTCTTCGGTATGGGCCGAGGTGTCAATGATTTTGAGCCGACCTGTCAGGGCCGAGGCGTCAACTAACACGGGCCGAGGTGTCGTTGGGCCGAGTAGTCTGTCTATACCGTATACAATACAGGTCCAGGAAAATCAATTTATTTAAAACTATTTAGCTTAATCAACTTATATAGTTTATTTACATATATAATTTAGCTTTATTTAGCTATTTTGGAATATCTTCTCGTCTATGAAAAGCAGACAAACAGTCACATGTACATTATGGCTAATATTTTCCTACAAGGCTTTATAACAACAATCTAGGGCTTAGATAGTAAAAACATTGACTCTTTTAAACACTTTTAACCTAAAAATGTATCTATATTGTTTTAATAGCTGGGAGTGCTGTGAGAAATTACAAAGTGTAATTGCCTTGGATTAGGCTCAATTACTACCAATCAATTATCTTCTTGACCAAAACTCCTTTTGTTCTTGAAGTATTAACTGCTTACTTACAGATTAACTGTTATACATAGCCACAAAACTTAGTCCTTTGATTGCAATTGCACAAGAGGAGATACATCTTTATAAGTGGGTTTCTCATGATTTCTTTTCAATCCATTTCAAAGTTGAAAACTAGTATTGCCTCATTATGTGACTTTTTGTTTGCTTTTCATCTAACATGCAGATATTTCATTTGAATTCAGTAAATAAAGCTATCCCGGATACTATATTGGTAAATAAATGTTTATAGGTACATTTCTGCTATATAGCTAAATATAGTGATTTTCAGGGGCCTGCAAATTACTAGCATAAGGACATTATACAATTCTTATCAACTTTTAATTGTAGTAGGAACAGGTTAAGAAATATATAACAGATGATTGGACATTCATAACACGGGTAAATATAATTCATCACTGAAATAGGTTTTCACAAACATTTATTCAGGAGACGCTGAATCTTAAAGAAAGTTTTTTTTCATGTCAACAACACTTAAAGTTATTAAATATTTTGTGCATAACATCTATTGCTAATTATCAGTCCGCCATTCATTAACACACCTTTCCTTAGCCAACAGGAATTCTTTGTAATTATTTACGGTTGGTAAGCTCAATGGTAGAGCACCCCTGCTTCATACAGGGAAGGTTCTAGGTTCGATTCCTGGACCAACTTTTATATTGCAGTTATTCCTGGCCAGGCTTGGGAGAGGGGGGGGAGGGGGGGGGCTGTCTTGGATAAATAGATGGTACAAAATCTCATGACCTGGTATTTCTTACGAGTTGTTTCATATGTCATCCAAGACTCATTGTAACACATCACATAGGAACTTATTAATAATCAATGACCTAACCGTGTCATACAAGTCACAAATCTACATTCACTTTTACTATTTGCCAGGTTTATCTACAATTTATTCAAGGTTTGGTAATTGCTCATAAATTTTCATCAATATGGGACTAAATTTTCTGCCTTCTAATATGAACAAAACATAAGTGAAATTATCAAAACATCAGTTTCATCAGTGATATAAATTTCATAAATACCAATCATGGATTTCAAAATTGATTAAGTAATTAGCGAATTGAGCGAATTGACTGACATTCTTAATATAGCTATTACTCTTACATTTTTTAATGAAATGATTTGAAACTAATTATATAGAGATATATTAATACTGTAGATAATATGACACTGTCAAAAACAGTCAAATTAGCATGAACTCACGCGCATGCACGTGCGCTTTGCTCTGATTGGCTGAAACAAAAATCTCAATATCTTCCCTGTTTTTTGATGAAAAGCTATGATTTTTAAAATATAGGTATACTTTAATATGTCCTACAAAACGATATGCAACAAATTGTCATGTAAACACGCGCATGCACGTGCACTGCAATCTGATTGGCTTAAACTTTATATGGCTCTAACTCCCTTGTTTTTCAACCAAACAGGATGGGATTTAGAACATAGACAGACATAATGGACTCCTACAAGGAGTTATGGTCGTCATGCACATGTATGCACGGGTGCTTTGCTGTGATTGGCTGAAACAAAAATCACAATATCTTTTTTTTGGGGGGGGGACAAAATGCTTTGAAATTTTCAACAAAGTCATGCATTATGATGTCGTACAATATGATATATAACAATTGTCGTTAAAACAGGTGCATTCACCTGCGCTGCAATCTGATTGGCTAAACCTTTAAATGGCTATAACTCCCTTGTTTTTCTACCAAACAAGATGGGATTTAGAACACAGACAGACATAATAGACTCCAACAAGAAGGTATGGTCGTCTTGCACGTGCGTGCAGGTGTTCTTCACTCTGATTAGTTGAAACAAAAATCACAATATCTTTTCTGTTTTTTGACGAAATGCTATGAAATTTAAAACTTAAGCATACAATAGGATGTCATGCAAAATATGATATAAAACAATTGTCATTTAATCACGCGCATGCACGTGCGCTGAACACTGATTGGCTTTAACTTTAAATGGTTATAACTCCCTTGGTTTCCAACCAAACAGTATGGTATTAAGAATATTGATAGACATAATGGTCCCCTACAAGAATATATGGTCATCATGCACATGCTTGCACATGTGTGCACGTGAAATGAGTAAAATTAAAAATCTGCTTAAATGAGAGTATATATTTTTAATACTTTTGAATTAAATGCTTTGACATTAAGTCTAATTTAATATAAACACTGAATACATAGTGTAGAAAAGATGATATATACATTACCCACATGCATTTACATGAGCTCGCATGTAATGCTAAAATTTCTACATTTTTTATTGTCTTCTGGGAAAACGTTGTTTCAGTCTAAATTGCACAAAGTATGTCATATTTAATACATCTTAAGGGAATATGCCACCAAAAGGGAGTTGGGGAGCGTTTGGGGAACATCTGTAACGGTCCCCGTTACAATTAGACCTACTTATCTTTATTACAGTCCCTGGAATTTCCTATCACTCTCTTCCTAAGGTGTAGGTGCAACAAAAGTATGACAGCAAAACATACATTGCACCCCTGCAAAATGATATTCATGATTTTAAGAACCTTTATGAGTTGTTCATAATTGTTCATGAATGGTTCTTAAAGGATTCTTAACAGGTTCATAAAAGTTGTTCATGAATAAAATTCATGAAAACATTCATAATTCATAGTTCATGAACAAATGATGAACAAATATGAATATTGGTAATTTTCAGTTTAAAGAAAAAAACTTGATAGTTCAAGGTAATGAATGTTCATGAATTTTCATGAAGACAAAAAATGTAAAAATAATTGTCACAAACGATCGCCAGAAAACACTCATTACTCCCATAATACAACTTTTGCATGCAGATGCAATCGTTGAACAAGACCCTGATTTAATTAATAACATGCTTTTGTTTTGATTTTGAAAGTATTGGATCAGAGACAAGTAGGAGAACATAAGAGGTTAAAATCACTATTTTCTACTCTCCGAATCGGTAACTTAGATTCTTCAGGATAATAAAACTCTGTTATGTACTGTCTAGAAGGGAGATTGTAATTAAATTATGATCGTAATTTAAAGAACACTGCATCAATATTGACAGCATTTTTTTCTCATATTGAATTACTAATGTTTCTTCATCATTTAAAATGGCTAGCTATATTAATATTGTGCTTTTAATTATCTCATTTTTCACGACACAACTTTGTTCGACCGAATTTTCTCTATTTGTCAAACTTTTAACAAGTTGTAAGAAAATGAAACAGACTTACAGTCTAGGAAAAATTTCATAATCTTCGTAAAAACGTATCATAGATTTATTGACAGCTAAAAAATCATATCTCTTGTCCGTACTATTCTTGGGTCAAACGCTTTATATTTTGATGCAGTTATCAAGTCGCACATTTTTCTGTACATCGTGTGTAAATGATACAGCACAGGCTGCATGGTTGTGAAGTATCTATGACATGATCCACATTCGTATTTTGTAGTCTATTCCCCTATACACTTTCATAGCTCAGGGTATTCTGTTTGAGGGCGAGTGGTTCCCAAGATTTATTTGTTGTCCTCTTGATATGGAGGCGGCCATACTTGAAAATACGAAACTGTGGCTCTACAGGTATAATGTAAAAAATCCAATTCAATAAATGATATAACTTATATTAATTTAAAAAAATTAATTTCAGTGAAAAATCATTCAGATAGTGTTTGTTATTTTTTGTTTAACAACAATCTTGGCAATTCGAAACTATTTCTTAATTAGTTCTGCAGGACACTTTAAAAGGCGCAAACTTTGAAACGCGCGAGACGTTGGAAAGTGAATCGGTAGAATTGGAGGATTATTAGCATATATCTAGTCATTCTTTGTCAACCTTTGAAGAAAATAACAGATTACGAAGAAGGAATATCCAGAGGATCAATTTACTTCATAACTGCAGATATTAATGGTGAGTTACAAAAAATGGAGGCAATCGCTGAATCTGTGAGATATTTGTCAAGATGTTACGGTCTATTTGTAAGAGTTCAGTTATGTCTTTTTTAATGATAATTTTGTCAAACTTTGTTATGAGTAAGGATCCAACCAAATTAAGTAACATTTACAGTAATAATTAAAGATTGAAAAATTCATCCTGTTCACCTATAACATCTTGAACATGGCGGGCAAGGGAAACTGGCTAAACTACCGCTCGGAATGCTTTAAAATATGGCAGTGTCTATGATGCAGAATTAAATGAAACAAATATGCAAAAAAAAAAAAAAAAATAATAAGTCTTAAGTTTTCACATTTATGAGCATTTTCAGAAAATCTTTGTTCTTGTAGGGAAAAGAGAAGCAGTTCACAGATAATGTTGATGAGTTGAGATCAGAAGATTAAAAAAACTCTGGCTGCCAAAAAAAAAAATCCAGGATCTTGAAGAAAAACAAGAGAAAGGAATGAAAATATGAATCGTAATCGATCAAAGGATCCAAGTGATGAAATTCTGAAAATTCCACAGGGAAAGCCAATAAGATTTTTTTTATTTGACCACCTCTTCTCAAAATCCTTAAAAGCCCTTTTAGCTGTTGCCCTAATTGCTGAACACACTTTTCTGCCAGACAGTGAGACTTGGATTAAAAATCATTCCATTTTAGGCATACACTCTGAAATACGCTGAATAAGGAACCCACACTCCTCTTGACCAAGTAAGGTTAAGAATTCTGCAAAGAGTCGCGTTTGAATTAAATTTTTCGTAATTTTACTAGGAATGAACTACATAATTTATTTATTAATCGATATCACTTATCAGAGTTGTTTACTTGAACAAAGATTTTGTTACCATGATTGGAAAACAAAAATTCTGTGAAATCTTTCAAGATGCTATTAAAATATTTTCTTTTACAGTTTTTCATTTTGCATAATTTATTACATTTTTGTTTACAAAAAGCAAGAACATTCATGTATAGTTCATGAACATTCCTAAATAACTTTTACAAATTAATCATGAATAGTTCATGAAAATGCATTGAACCTATTAATATTATTCATGAACTTTTCTTGAAAGTTCAAGAATATAATTCATGAAGTTTTCTTGAAAGTTCAAGAATTATTCTTGATCATTTTGCAGGCAATTAAAAAATCCAAGTTTGTTCATGAACAACAAATAATTCTTGAATATTCTTGAACTTGGTTTTCATGAATAAAATCCATGAAATCATGAGTGTCCAATTTTAACTTCATGGGATCTTCATGAACAATTCATGACCTGATTCAAGAATATAATTCATGAACTTTTCTTAAAAGTTCAAGTATTATTCTTGATCATTTCGCAGGGGTGAGTAGTGTACTGTAGAAAGGGCAATAAATATAATTCCTCTTGGCGCATTTCATAAATCTATCAGTGTCCACAGTAAGTAAAATCTCTGTGACAGTGTGGTCAGTTAGTGTATACAGGGATATTTCTACACGGTATACTTTCTTGAATGGAAATGGCACTAGTCAAATTCAAAATGAGGCATATATGTAAGCAAAGGTAAAAGGGCGAAAATAAGTTGGGCCAAAAATTAATCAGTATATACAGACTTCCATTTATGTAACATGAACTTGCGTTCTGAAAACTTCAATATAAGGCCATGCAAAATTAATTCCTTGGTTCTCAGGCTTTTTTTTTCCAAAAATAGGATGAGGGAGGGAGGCTTTTTCTTTTTTGATTACCCCCAAAACATGATGAGGCAGCTTTCTACATGGTACAAAACTGCTGACATTCATGAGGGAGGTGATATGTTGTTTTTATTTTAATGAATTAGCAAACAAAAGGGTCAATGAGGCACTCTTGGAAGAGATGAGGGAGGGCCTGAAAACCAAGATATTAATCTTTTATGGACTAACGTTGGGTATTAACAGATTGCACAATTCTAACCCACATTATAAAACACTACTTACTCTATCCTATACAATAAATAACGAGTACAATATTAGGCAATTTCTCTACATTTTATTTTATCTGACAGCAGAAAGATCATACAATGCACAATTTTAATATATTGTTCAAATAATCCTTTAAGCAGAGATTAGGCAAACACATTAAATGCATTGTCTTCAGTTTGGATCCTGAGAATTCAAATCTGGTTTGTTTTCTAACAGATTTTTATATTTCATAAAATGGATGGGGTGCTTAACATGCTTCTTCTGTCCATTTATTAAACATAGGAACTGAAACTGTGTACATCATAAATTAAGTCTTACAAATTTTCATTTCAATACTTCTCATTCAAATAAATATTAATGGGAATATATAACAATTGGAGAGAATAATATACATAAAAACAGTAAATTTGTGTCAAGAATAACATAAAAATAATGATTTGCATATTTAATTACTTACATTTACCCCCACATGCATAATAAATCATTAATGAAAATAGGTCAAAGTATTACACTTTTACTGCATTTAAGCATGTTCATCCTATTTCACATATGCATTACCAACAACATTACAGCAGTGTGGTTCTAAGATATAAATTTCTATATATCTTAAACATTGGTTCATTAGCAAATCAATCCGACTTTAGTGTATCGGGGCCTGTCAATAATTACTTCAAGGAAATGTGAACATAGAAGAAAATACAATTTAAAAAAAACTAGTGGTAAATAAAACCTAACCTTGTAATTAATTGTCAACAATATTATTTTCTCCTTCCACAATCTTTAAACTTTACTCTGAAGCTTCTAATGTACAACTCCACAGTATTAACACAATGATCTGTATAATAAGACACTAATTATGCGTTATAATTTGTTAAAAACTTCACATCAACCCCCTTCAAAGCTTTAATTTACACTGTACATCCACTTTTGAGATATAAAAAATTAACATTGACTTCAGGGTTTAGCTTAATCCTATTGACATCCACCCTTATCTACATTTTCACCAGGGTTGCAAATTTTAAACTATATTTCACAGAATTGAACATTTCTTATATGATTTTCAGCATTGCAGGAAGATCCATTCCCCAACCTATTTGGATATTAGGAAGTACATAGTTGCTTATAACCATGTCCATATTTAGTCCATGAACATTGCAAACAATTACTCATCATACCTATCGTATACAAGTCAAGATTCCATCTTAAAATCAGTTTTCATCAGCAGCTCCATTTCCATCCCTGAACCCCATAAACACATTCCAAATTAAACTATACAACTTCCTGTCTTTCACAAAATTCCAGATTATACTTATCTACATTCACATAGTTACATTTGTGTAATAAAACTGTAACACAATACAACACTTCACTTTCATTTACAATGCTTTTTCAGGACTCAAACACTTTCAATGACATGTCAAACAATCCACTGTCTAATGTCAATACAATTAACTCTTTTCAGTCTTATTCATTGCTACATCTTTGGAACAATAATTCTTACACTTTAAAGACCATGCATTTCTACAAAATTTCTATTCCTTCTTAATCAAATATTTCTTTCCATATAACAAATGTCACTTTTCCTTTAACATTTCCAGAAATTCGTCTCTTTTATGATCTTATATTAAGTTTATTCTCTACTCATTGCAGTCATATTTATAGTGTTTAAAAAGGAAAAAAAAAACAACCTCTGTCCTCACACTAAAGCAATGAACCTAAAAATAAAGACATCACAAAAAATGTCATGCGTCTGACAAAAAGACTGAATGAAGTACTTCATAAAAAAGTTTGAAGTTATACATTCCACAACAGTGCACTTCATTTATCATTAGGCAGAAGGAGAGAGAGAGATAAAGAGACATTCCCATGCATTCAGGTTCATACATTAGAGCCTCTGAATTTTTTTCCTCACCGCATCAAGAGTTCGACTGGGAATTCCCCTACAGGAACACAAGGACAGATACTGCTTATACAGTTCTGGATTGGACGTGTCCTTACTGCAGTTGTCTCTGACTTGATGGTGGATTTCCAGCTCAGCACCACTCCACTTCATCTTCAGATTGACTGGGTAGTGAGCAACAGTGTGTAAGGCAATGCTCTCCTCGATGACACTTTCTTCCTCTGTAGGGATTGTACGCAGAACTGCTGCTTCAAAAAATTCTGGTTCCTCTACTGTTCCCTGCGTCTCTTCTGGTTTAGGGACTTCCTTTTCTGTCCTCTTCCTTGGCGGTGCTGTTGGGAGCCGCACTGTAATGGAATTATGGATCCGCCAGATCTTCTTTTAGCCAATAACACACTGGTACTTAGTGGCTAAAATGCACATGTCTTTCAACCGGTGCTGTGGAACTGGCATGGAGGACTCCAGTTTCTCTACTTCCTTGTATGAAACATACCAGCCTTGCTGAAGGAGGGCCACACAGGAGCAGAACAATAAAGTCTTACTGGTATCAGTGGTGCTCAACTGCAGGTTCTTCAACTTCAGCAGAATGGGTGACATCCAGGGAACTGAAAAATTGGGTGTCGCCGTTGGAATTCCTTCAGCTTGCTTTGGTGGATGTACCCTCCGGACACCAGCTGAAGCATAGTCGTCTGGGTGCAGCTCTGACATAGAACATCATCCACCACTGGATCCCCGGGACTGGCCATCACTTTCCACACATGCAGCCCATTCCAGTTCAGCACAGGGTTTCTACACACATCGTACGTCTGAACAGCTGGGAAGTATCTGACCGCACTGTGACGCAATCCTTCCTCCAGTGCTTCCTTGGCAGATCTACTGGACTTCGCCAACATCTCCAGCATGTACTTCGTGGCCAACCTGGACTTCACTGTCTTGATCTGGGAGAGCATTTCTGCTATCTGGGGAATGTTCATGACTCCCTTACAAATTGCCCATCGAGGAACCTCCTGAAACTGCAAGTCAGCAACAAACGACTGGAGTACCTTGGCAGACTTGAACAGATCTGTAACTATGGCTTTCAGAAGTTTCTGCCCTACAGTCATGTTGTCCAAAGTCACATCTCCGAGAAGTTGAAGACGTTGGATATCTCCACCGCTACTTTGTCTGATAGGGTCCAAACTTTCATGACAGGTGGAATCCCTGGAATGGTTATGGAAGAAATAGTCTCCAAGGAGAGAAACCTCAATCTGTCTGTCTTGCAGTCGGATGGGTTAAGAACACCAAGTCCCAATGCTATAGAGGCAAGGTTATCCAGACGTGAAAAGGGGTGACCCCAAAGGAATTTTTCAAGTGCGAACTCGGTTTGGTATGCCTTCCACGTCAGATTATGGCTCCCCGAACACATTCCTCTCTGTAGACACTCGGCAAGTTCCTGGGTCAGGTAGTGGCCAACTCTCCTCAGACCAAGGCAAAGGGAATCGTTCACCAGGTGGAATGGAACGAGAAGATCTTCCTGGTGGATCAGTCTCCCTAACTCTGAGGAACGGAGGATTGACGTGGGATCTATATCTGTCAACACTTGGCTGGGAGCGACCAC